CCCCCCCCCCAAAAAAAAAAACAAAAACCAGTACATTAAAAAAGTATATTATCAGCACCGCTATGTAGCTTGTGTTGAAATGCTTTTTTCAGTCTGGTTATAAGCCCCGTGGATGTAAGCCCTCCATTTATAAGCCCTATTTAAACCTCATATGAAGTAGTATAAACCAAGGGCTTATAAGCAGAAGTTTATGGTATGTTGTGTTAATTACGTAATAAGCAGTGTACTACCAACAGATTTGCTCTTATGCAAGGCTGTGCTCTAAGGAAAATTTCAGGGAACCCTTCAGGCTCCCAAGCATTTTAACTAAGGCGCCCAGACCTCAAAGTGGGTCGCCCAAATAAAAATTTCGGGGAGCCCTTAGGGCTTCCAACCATTCCAGCTGGAGTGCCCAGACCTCCAAGTTGGTCGCCCGAGTACATCTGATGAAGAAGTATTTTGCACGCACATGAATCTTACTGGCCTGCCTATCACCAAACTTGGTAATTTTAGATTTTGGGTGTGACAAAAACCCGCATGTTGTCTTATTAAACCCATCAAAGTTTTTGTGCCATTCAGATTTAAAACCAAAAACGTCAGCAATGCCGCCGAATAGTTCAGGTTTTAAAGAGAAAAAAGCAAAAATTTCAGCATGTTTACGTAAACTTCATTAAGATGTTTGGGTCAAACATAGGAAAACTGTGCTTTTTTACCAGTAATATTAAACTTGAAAATAATTTTTCGAAAGGTGAATCAATGCGGCACGAAATATTAAGTGACGGAAATTACGCGGCAGATCGAATTCCAGTTCCTGTGAAAACTCTGTGAAACAGTGAAACTGCCGCGGCCCCAAACCTATTGTTTTAATAAAAAATAAGTCATCTTTAATTTTCTTTTTTATATTATCAGTGAATCAGTCTGGCAGATCACACGTATGTTTCCATCTTTTTCATATTTATTGCAAAATTGTTTCTCTTACGACATAGTGGATACTGACATGGTAAGGAGAAAAATGAGCACAGTGACAACTTCCTTAGTTGTAAGGTCTTAAATTGTTGTTAAGGTCTAAGTCCTTTCCATTTACGTGCACCATGCAAAACAACGATGCAAATTAAAATGGCAGAGTGTGGATAGCTTTTAGATGGATTTTCAAATTTAAAGTAAATAAAAGTAAGAAGCCATTAACATGGATTGGTTAGTTCGAATTTGAACGTTTTAAAGTCGATAAATGCAGAATTAACATACATGTAGTCAACCAGGCCATGAAATTAACTCTTTTTTGTGGGAGCCGCTTAACAACTTTGTAATTTAAAGTGGTGGCCAATTCCACAAAGTTGGCACCCAGTATTAAAAAAGACAAACAAAACAATCATCTTAAATCTAGCTAAATAGGAAGAATTGCAAAAATTCCCTACCACGGTTTATGCTGAAGTGATGTGTCAGCAATTTAGATTGTAGACGCTGTTGTCTTACGCTTGTGCATTGAAGTACTGTTATGAATTGAGCCCAAAGTAATAAACAGAGAAGTCATTTTTTGAAACTTTTGAAAACTTCAAAAACTAAATATGGACTGAAAAGAAGTCTGTGTTCAGTTTTTGAGAAAACCTCAATTTTTCCATACATTTTCTGTAATTTTGACACTGTTGAATTAAAGAAAATGTATGAAAAAATCAAGGTTTTCTAAAAACTGATCACAGACTTCTTTATGCTCCAGATTTACTGAATTGTTTCTTTGAACTAGTAAGTTACTCTTTTCAAAGAGAAAGCATCAAATATATGAACTCAGGAAGAATTAGCTGGCTTTGAATTCTAATACAAATCTTCTAATT